TATATATATATATGGTTTTACAATTTATATAAGCCTAAATGATAAAATATACCCGATCATATAGTAAAACAAGAATATACCGTATGTTGAGGCATATGAGGGGTATCCTTTTAATATTACCAACCCCTAAATATTAGATGGTACGTTGTTGATATAATAAATCGTGGTGAACATAATAATACACGATGTAGTACGTTATTTACCTTGAATCAGATACTGTCGGTCGTTGTGGTACTTGAAAAGGTGTAAATAATTCACTTGACTGATATTTCCTAGACAAAGTGTCAAAACCTTGATTTTCACGGTAAAAGTGGTCCACACCAAGCATGCCTACCGGTGTTGTCAGACTGGAGGCAACAGCAGACGCCATTTGAAATTTAGAACAAGTTAAACGTTGCTGAATGTATTATGGTAAATTAAGGTACACTGTTAATTCCTTAATTTATCCTATGAGATGTTCACAGATGCATTTTACTAGGCAATAAACATACTTCCTACCGACGTCAGTGGTTTACATGTGTTTATGACAATAGGCCTACACTAGCGATGGTTATTACCAGCCAAACACTGTTGCCAAGGTGACATGACGCTCAAAGTTGTTGGCAAAGCAGCCTTGTGTAATTCATACATAGTTGATTGCAAACACAAAAGAATAGATCTCATTTGTGTCTATTGATCTGCTGTACAACAATAAACCGATCGCGCTTATCATCTTAAGAGGTAGTTGGTATAAATGAATCCGAACAACGAGTCACAATGTAACTGCAACTGCTAGGCCTATAAGAATTGCGTATCTGAAATGTATAGGAGCAGTATGGAGCAGGGGTCTTGGAAAACGTTTGAGGGAGTTTGAGCGATCCCTGACTACGACCACTTTTTTCGTCGAGGACTAAGACAAGCCGTCTGGGAGGGGGATTCTGGCCAGATGTCGGTGAACTCAGAGTTGAATATACAAAGGCCGCAACGTTTTACGACAAGCGACTTGTGTATATTGACCTCACGGGAAACCGAGAAAGTCTCTTCCCTCTCTTCCTCAGCAGTGTGCCGCTAGCAGGATGGGGGTGGGGGGAAGGGAGGAATTTATCCCTCACCCCCGTCGGACAGGCCTGGATCCCCTCCCCCACTCTCGCCCGACACCACGACGAAAAATGAAAACAATAGTAATTTGCCTAGCTATACAGAATATCGTTATTTTGATTGTCATTCCCTAATATTGTGGTCTAAAAACACAATTTGAACCAAACTAAGCAATATAAACTCTCCCCGTCAACCCTATCAGGGATTTTTTTATACCGGGAAAATGACCGAGGCTCTAGTCGGCCCTTTTGTTCCAACCCCAACCCTGTCGGACCAATTGACAGCAAGTGTCTGAAGCCACCGCTGTCCCTATGGGAACACACCGAATTGACGGGGAAAAATCTCCAGACAAAAAAGTGTAATAGGCCTATGTGTACTAGGGCCTACTCTGCCCTGTCATGAAAAAACCATTCAACTGACAATTTTTTTTTCTTTCAGAATGCACTTTTTCAGCGTTTTGCACTTTTTGGGACATTACACACCTTGTGATGTATTCAGATTTTTGAAATTATAAAAGAAAATATGAAATTTAAAAACTAAAATATCACTCAACTGCAAGTCTGTGTTAGGGGTCATCCATTATTTTCATCATTTTCACGAGCGTACAAAACGTATGCTGCAGGGGGAGGGGTTGAAGGTGTGTGTACGCTTTCAAAAAGTACAAAAAAAAAACGATTTGGAAATGTTAGCCTACGTTTTTGTACGGTACCTAGCAATTCACGAGTAAATGTTAAGTAAATTGTTTATACACACCGTCATCTTGCATCCCTGATTAACGATGTGTTGGTTAAAGCATTGTGTATTTATAAACAATTTCGAAATACAAGGGAAATCACTCTAGCCAGGGGCGGATCCAGGATATGAAAGAGGGTGGTTCAAAATGTCTCAAAAAACCCCCAACATTACAAGGGGTCCTGGGGACTTCCCCCGGGAAAATTTGGATTCCTAGACAGTGCGGATTAAGCATCGTCTGGCCTCAAGGCACATTTTGGAAATGGCCCAAAAATGTTAATTGAATGGACCCCACCCCCGTCAGTCAAGCCGAAAAATTAAAAAAAAATTGAGAAGAGTTAAAGGGAAGAAAAAAAGAGGGAAAAATAGAAGTGTACCCATGAGTTCAGAGACGGATCCAGCAGAGGGCGAAAGGAGAGCTCGATTATTTTACCACTCACATAATTTTGAATTTTCTATTGATTGTCAACGAACACAACGCTATTATCCCCGACGCATCAATCAGGATGTGAAAAGGCCAAAAGGCGGAGACCTAAAGACAGAGTTTTTTAGCCGGAATGTAGTACCCAGCTATAGAAC